CTGAAAAAAGAGAGAGAGAGAGGGAACAGCCAAAAGCTGAGTATTCATAGATTCATAGGTTCATAGATGTAGGGTCGGAGGGGACCTGAGCAGATCATCAAGTCCGATCCCTTGCCCTGGGCAGGAATGACTACTAGGGTCATATGGCCCCCACTAAGTTAAGCTCATATGACCCCAGTTAGGTAGTTATCGAGCCTCCTTTTAAAGACCCCTAAGGTAGTAGCCAGCACCACTTCCCTTGGAAGCTGGTTCCAGATCCTGGCCACCTTGACTGTGAAGTAGTGCTTCCTGATGTCAATCCTGAACCTACTCTCAATCAACTTGTCACCGTTATTCCTTGTTACTCCAGGAGGTGCTCAGGGGAACAGGGTCTCACCCATTCCCCTCTGGTCCCCCCTGGTAAGTTTATAGACGGCCACTAGGTCCCCTCTGAGTACTGTCAGAGTATGTGGGAGTCCCAAAATCAAGTCATCAGTTAGAGCAGTGACTAGAATCTTAGGGCATATCTACTTCAAATTTACCCTTCCAGGCAGCAGCATTCTTAAATAGGCAATACTACAGGCCACAGGAGACCTCCCAAACTGGAAATAGTGTAGTCATTTTTGCATGACATTCTAAGCTATATAGCATAGTTACTCAGCAATACTAAGTGTAAGAGGTAGCCACTGCCTAGAAAGGGGAGTATGCTGGTTTGACAAGCCCAGTCTCCCATAAGCCAGGTGAGTACCTTATCTGCAGGTCCATTGGTGTTTCTATGGTCTACCTCTTCCACCAGATTTAAACAGTATAAAGAAATGTTACATTCCCATGAGAAGTTTCATTGTCAATGAACTGGTATTTTCCCTGATACAAAGAAGGGGGCTTTTTTTAAACAAAATTCTTGGTCCACCCCAACCTTGAGTCTAAAATCTACAGGATAGTGGCCCTAGGTTCTCTAATTTTGAATGCTTCATACTCTGTATGAAAGCTTTGGATGCCTGTAGACATGTAGGGAGGCTGCTCCAATGCACTGTAATTACAGTGCTTCAGAGCAGACACTCAATCAATTGAGTCTGCTGGAGTGTGCTAATAAGCATGCTCCAGCTAGCATTTCCATCTCATGTATCAGTGTCCCCATACCTCAAAATGGCAGCAGGGGCACTTCACCTAAAGCTTCTTCACTGAGCTTTAGTTAAAGCACCCCTGCCACCATTTTGAAGCACAGGGATGCTGATACTCGAGATGCTATAGGTGCTTTAATTAGAGTGGCTCTCACAACCACTCTAATTAAAGCACCCTCCCCCATGCCTCTAGAGCTAGTGTAAAAATGCCTTTTGATTCATGGTGATTGTGAAGAATAGGAAAATAAGATATGCATCTTTTCTATCACACTCGTAATGTATTAACTTGTAATGTTTGATATTTCCCTCCACAGAGTAATGATAAGCCTGTAGCAAAGCTTTAGTAAGGGAATGACAGGTTGGTGTCTAGCTAGAGTTATTAAGGTTAAGCATAACTTACCAATGATTTTACTAAATTTTACCTAGTCCTCTTTGAAGGACTGATCTGCTAGGCCTATTCAGTTAAGTAGCTTTCAGTTTATCTTCCTCAGAATGGTCTTGTCTAGGAAGAACGAATACAGTCAGCAACGTCCCTGATAAAGGTTTCACATTCACCGGGTCATCATTTTGCTATATTTAATGTTCTTCCCTTGTCCTTATTTCATGCCCAGAGAAGATTTATTACCAATGTTTACTCTGGAAAGGTAATGTAGGCTTTATCAGTTGTACACCAAGCTCCTTGGGTCTGTTTATGTTTTTGCTTAATTTTGTATACAAGTACATTGCTCAGCTTCTGAAAAGCATTGCAAATGATATTTTTGTCCACTTTTTCAGCTTTTCATTGTCATTATAAGTTTAAGTAACAGCATTTGATCTGAGGCAGCAGTAGTCGACATGAAGTACCTCATGAGATCTTAGGGACACAGACATCTGTGGGACATCTTAGGGACACAGACTTCTGGATCATAATTGGGTTTAGGCATATGCTAGGCACTAAACTGCTCAGCTCTGTCAAGACTGGGGTAATTCTTAAAATACACAGAGCCACAACTCTGGGGGGGCTGAAGAAAAGTAAGAAAGGAAGGTTTCTATGCAGTTTAGGAGCTTTCAGGAGTAGGCAGCAACCAAACAAGGGTTTTTTCTTATGCAGTTAATGACTTAGGCACCTGAATGCCTTCTTAATCCCACTTTATGTATGGAAGTCCCTTTTAAGACCTGGCCTAAAAGTCTTACAGCAGGTTTTGTAATTATGGATGTATGTAGATGAAGTGTTTTTTTTAAAAACGCTACTTTAATTTAGGGTGAAGTAAACCCCTGTGTCATGTACACCCATGTCTTACCTGCCTCTCCAGTGGCGGGGAGGGGAGGGCGACCTGATGGTGGGCTGAGTGGTCCCTGGGCTAGGGGTGGTAGGGGGTAGTGCTTCCCTCCATAGCAGCAGCAGCCTCTCCCCCAGGTGGCACCTACCAGCAGGCACCTGGCTCAGGAGGTCCCTAGGGCACCGCAGCTGTGTTAGGAAGAAATGAGTCCCTGCGCAGCTCATGCAGGCAGGCAGGTTCCAAGGAAGAAAAAAAATTATCAGGATCACTGCTTTTTTTTCCCTTCAGTGAAGACTGCCTTCCCAGGCTGCAGTCAGGCTGCCTACATATCCCCTGAGCCACAGAGAGCCTGGTGCTTCGCTCTGTAGCTATAGGGCAGAAAACTATAACTCCTCAGAGGTGTTTTAGTTTGCTGCACCCCAAAGTCATTTAAGGCACATTACACCACTGAATGTGCTACAGCGGCTGGAATTCATGAGCAAAATGCCACTGACACATTCAGTGGTCCAAGGAGGTGATCCTCCCCCTCTCGGCGGCACTGGTCAGGCTGCAGTTGGAGTACTGCATCCAGTTCTGGGCGCCACAATTCAGGAAGGATGTGGACAGCATTGAGAGGGTCCAGAGGAGGGCCATTCGCATGATCGGGGGCAGCAGGGCAGGCCCTATGAGGAGAGGCTAAGGGACCTGAACCTGTTCAGCCTCCACAAGAGAAGGCTGAGGGGGGATCTAGTGGCCTTGTACAAACTAGTCAGAGGGGACCAGCAGGTATTGGGGGAATCCCTGTTCCCCTGAGCACTCCCAGGAGTGACTAGAAATAACAGTCACAAGCTGGCAGAGGGTAGATTCAGACCAGACATCAGGAGGCGCTACTTCACAGTCAGGGCGGCTAGGACCTGGAACCAACTTCCAAGCAAAGTGGTGCTCCAACTGCCAAGCAAAGTGGTGCTTGCTCCTACCCTGGGGGTCTTTAAGAGGAGGTTAGACAAACACCTTGCTGGGGTCGTTTGACCCCAGTACTCTTTTCTGCCCATGGCAGGGGGTCAGACTTGATGATCTGCTCAGGACCCTTCTGGCCCTACCAACTATGAAACTATGAAACTATGACATGTGCAAGCACCAATGCCATTAAAGTGGTGCAAAAGCATTTAACCTGCTTGGAAGTGTCATGCACACACGCTCATCGTTTCATCTACACACACCCTGTAAGTTTGATAAATTCAGGCCTTTACATTATGTGTACATGACACAATGCAGTATCATGCAGGGCACGTCTACATGTGCACTTTAATGTGTAGTAGACTATTTTACTGTGTATTAAAGCATCACTTAAAAACTTGTGACATTATGCTAATGTTCACCAAAATAGTCTACTGTGCATTATGTCACTAAAAAACATGTAAATATGCTACTGCGCGTTAGCACAGCCTAATGCACATTAATTTAGTACCTCACACTGGAGGGATCTTTTACATGTGCTCTGGAGGCAGAAAGGTGGAAAGTGCTTTAATTAGAGCAGCTCCGAAAGCTGCTCTAATTAAAGCGCCACCACATCTCCTGTGCCAGTGTCGCGGTGCTTTAAAATGGGAACAGGGGTGCTTGAACTAAAGATTGTCAAATGTGCTTTATTTAAAGTGCCCCCACCACCATTTTTAAGTGCAGGGACATTGGTACACAAGATGCAGGAGGTTGCTGGAGCGCAGCAATTGCCACACTCCAGCAGACTTGATTAATTGAGTCTGCTGATTAATCAGTTAATTGAGTCTGCTCTGATGTGCTGGAATTCCAGCATGTTGCAGGAGCCTCTGTGCTTGTGTATAGGAGCCTGGAGGTACTAAATTTAATGAGCATTAGAAAAGCTGCGTTAATGTGTGTGTAAATGTGCCTGCAGAGAGCCAGATTAGTTAAAAACTAGCTAGTTCAGGTATCTGAAGCGATATAATGTCTTTGTTGCCTGAGAAGCAGGACTTATGTGCCCAGGTGAAGCACTCTCCTGTTATGTCTACAGTGCTTCCAGTACTTGAGCTGGCTAATTCAGAATTGCACAGACACACCATTAGTGGTCTTTCGGAAAGCCAAACATGAACGCATTTTTGTGCACTTAATTATCTTAAACCCGAATTGTTGCCATAATTTTGGCCCCTAAGAACACCTGTGTGTAGTGTTCTTAGGGGCCACTGTGTGTAGTGGTACAGCTTAAATTTGTTTTAAGTTACTGTCCAAAGCACAGTATTTTCTAAACTATATGGTGCTTCAAAGACCCTCCCCCCTCTTTTTTGTCTCTTCTTTCCATTTTGCCATCCTGTTAAGTTACTATTTTGGAAAGTGTGTTGTGTGCCTCTATCTTGGAGTATAAATGAAAGACAGCAAAGATCATTTGGGGATTAAAGCTCTAGAGGAGAATCTAAAAAGCTCATTTTTAGTTCCATTTGTTATGAGACTTCAGGCAAGGCCTTCATTTCTCTTCCTCTGTTTCTGCAAAATGGATATAAAGCGTGCTTTATTTGGCATTAAATGATTTAAAGTTTATAAAGTCTGGAGGAGACCTCTGCTTGTAGAGTGTAAAAGTAAAGCATTATTATTGGTATTATTTACAGTTAACTTCACATATGGGGAAAAAAAGTATTTTTCTTTTTTCTTTCAGCTATGCCAAAAAAAGAGGGAGAAAAGAAAGGTAAAACAATTATTTTCACTTGACTGAAGTATATTTCAGGTTTTGACTACTGTGAGAAATGTTTCTTTCATTCAGTGATACAATTGTCATGACACACCACTTCACGTGCTTCCATCAGACAACTTTATCTAGTCCTACTGTGATAGCGCAGTTGTGATTTCCAGTACTGTGGGTTCCTTTTTACTACAGGCCAACATAGCCCAATATCACACACTATAATCCTTCTGACTGGGATGAAAATGAAAGGCTCTTGTTACCATGGTACAATGTGTCAAAGAGAACAAAACTTTCAATCCCCTGTGTGTGCTGACTTGACTGTTAGTTCTTTTCAGAATGTGCTTTCTTAGATAAGTTTCATTTTCCCCTTTTTGGATCTGCATGCACAAATGTATGCCTTTGTAGAAATCATAATACAGTATTCAAGCAGTAAGGGCATGATTCAAAGTCACCCATAAAAGTCAATGGAAAGATTCACACTGGATTGGACCAGGAAATATCATGTTACAATAATAGTTATCTATGAGTGCCACCTCTCAGATGATTTGACAAGTTATTGCATGCAGCATTATCCTCAGGTTAATTTCAAACAGAACCTTTGGTGTGAAATATAGCTTTGGACTTTTGCATTAGCATTTTGTTTCATCTATCTGGTTCCACAAAATTTTCAGTATTTATATTATTGGGGGAAAAATTATTCAAGTTAAAAATCCTTGGGATCATATTCAATGTTCTTTCCCCAAGATAAGCTCAGAATAATTCTACAGATGGCATGTGAGTTATTTGGGATTTAGGTCTCAATAAACCTCTATGCTTAGAAGCAATTCAGCCAGCCATCTGAGTGTTTTAGCCCCACTTAAGCTCTGTTGCAATCCAAATTGGTCTGGGAGGTAAAACAACTCCACCAAAGTCCCTAATTCTTTAGCCACTGCCAGACAGTGCCAAGTGACTGTTGCTGATGGTGCCTACCTGTAGTCTAATACTTAGAGGCAAGAGTTACTTGCACAAGAAGTGGAAGCCTTGCATTCTACAATCACCCTTCCCTGAGATGATTCACACCAGTAGTTCTCCAATTCCCAGAACAGTTACCTAACCACCAGGCTATGGATCTAGTTCAGTATGGCTCTCTCCCTTCCTCCTAGTTACCGCTGGCAACCTCAAGTATAAATATCATGGCAGAGGTGTAGCCAGGCAGCTCTGTGTCCTGGGCAGCTATGCAAGGCCTAGGGCATCACTGGCTACCATGGTACTGATCACAGTAGCATGATAAGATGCTGCTGCTGTTGTAGATATTTTCATAACCCCCTTCATCCCTCACAGAGACAGCACCCAGGACAGCTGGCCCTGTCCCCTCCCTCCCTTAGTTATGTTACCATGTCACAGGGACAAAAAAGAGCAAGCAAGGGATCTGCGACTCTGTGGACCTGTTAGGAGGTCACTCCCCTAATAAGAAGAGTCTCAGCTTCCAGTCCTGGCTGAGCAGTTTATTCCAGGTATTTTTAACCGAGGACTTCCTAGGAAAATGCATGAATATTCTTGACCCCTGGTTCTTGAACCAAGGAGTACCCCTTCACAAGGCCATAGATTTTCAGTCCCTCTTGCTTGTTCTCCTTCTGATCCCATTATTGCCAGAGGCTGAGTCTTAACACCAGGTATGAAGGGGTCCCTAGGATGTAGACTGATTAGGTCATTTTCTGGGAAGCGGGAGATGCACAGGCGACTGGTGCCACCTTAGTCAGGGGGGCACATACGCCCCCCAGCAACCAGTCAGCAACTGGGGGTAGGCCCCCCATGGGCAATCTCGCCGCCCCCTCACGGCTGATCGCACTGACCAGAAAGCGGCTGCGGCACTTCATCCAGGTGCTCCCACTCCCTGACCGGTGCTCACAAGGGGGCACTGACACTCCCCCCTGCCCATCGCCTAAGCAGGAAGTGCGGCCTGTCAGGGGGTGCACCAGTGCTCTCATATGTTAGTATGAATACCCTCAGTATAGAATAGAACTAGAACTCAGATTTTCCATTTTCTCGGAAAATGCTCTCAGTACATGCTATTGACCAAAAGGCAGACATATCATTTGCTTATGACACACAATTTCACTTAGCAGTTCTGTTGATTAACTGCAGGCTCCTCTTTGCTGTCTACCTAGGTGAACTTATAGGAGGCACCTAAGTTTCTTCCTTTGCTTTATAGTAAGTATCTAATGAATCATTTAGGAGCCACCTAAATAGCTGAATAGGATTTGACCTTTAAACCTGTATAACTGAAAACAGAGTTTGGCCCTTTGTTATTATTTCTGAAATACTTTGACAGTACTTGTTTTCAGTGCTTTTTAAAGAAGGGGTTTGGAGCTTCTTTGTGTCATATATTGCTGAAACGTGGAATCTGCTGTTCCTATTTATAAAATGACTTTTAATCTCACTATTTTTGTTATTCTTTGTACAGTTGTTAACTGAACTAGAAAAAAGATATCTCAGCAGTTTTAGCAGCTCCAGGGTATAATCTTGGCTCCATTGAAATCAGTGGCAAAAATCCCATTTAATTCAGTGAAGCCAGGATTTCAGTAAGGCCAGGATGTGCTTAATTAAATAACAACATTCATCCTAGTTATCCAAAGCAACAATGCTAAATAGGTCTCAAGAAGAATGGTTTGTCCAGGGACTCATGTTCAATAATTGAAGCATGAAAGAAAGTACAGGAGCAGAGAGCATCTGAATACTGGTAGAAATACTTACAACCATTAGCTTTAAGACATCAGAAGGCTTGCTGTGTTTGTGCTCCTGATCATATTCATTGTTAGATCCAGAACTGAAAGAAAGGAATAAGGTAATTGCCTACAAGAAAAGAATGCTATCATTGTGAGGCATGTAAATGGATTTATTAATTTACAGGGAAACATTAGGGGACTTTACTACTCAGAATCCCCTTTAAAAATGTGTTAATTTTCCATAGTTTAGGATTCTTTTCCTTCTCTCCCAGCAAAATTGAAATTATGCCTTTTTAAATAAATATCCTTATAAGAAGGAAATGGACATTCATGTTATATTTACTTTTTAATTTTTTATGTACTGTGCAAACTGAAATGTTATATTCTTTTTCCTTCAAGACTTCCTTTTTACATAGGGCATTTTGCCACAAGGGCAGATGGGGAATTTTGCATGTATTTATCTGAGCAAAAGAGAGATATGTTTAATGTGCAGTAGCCAGTGCTGACCTACTTTGCACAAATACTGGGGAGCCAAGTAGAAGGATAGGCCAGTCTGAGTTGCTTTTTAATATTAATTTCATTTTAAATATTTTAGACTTCTGCATCCTCCCTTCTCTTCTCTTTTACGATGTCAAAAACAACCTTTGCATCAGAGGGAGAGTAGCACTGAGGATAGAACACACCTTTGCTTTAGATTCTTTAAGCAACCAATGAAAATAGGCAGCCCAGAGAAAAAAAAATGTTGCTTTTGACAAGATACCCATTCACTTCCTCAGCTTGAGAGAAGCAGTATGATTCTTCCCAAAAATAAATCTTCTATCCTTCAACTTTCACATTTAACTTTACAGTATCCATGAGACCCAGTGAGAAATTGTTCCTTTCTAGTGGCTACTTCTCAGCTATCATCATGTTTTTTGTATTCTATCATTATCAAAAACTGCCCCAAGCCAAAAGTGTATTTCTCTGACTAGCAGTAAAATCAGGGACAATGTTTATTAGTTTTGCTTAAGGGTAACACTTTTTTTGCACATCTGCAAAAATAATAGACATGCCTAGCAGCTGATCTAAAATTGACTGGCTCATTACCTAAAATATATCATGCTACCTACATGCATGAGTTCAAATAGGACTATATCATCTGTCATGCACATCATGTTGCATGTCAGCAAGGTACTGTATGTGCATTCTTCTCCAATTATTATTTCTTATTTAAATAGAAACCCTTCATCTAGGAAGGGAAGAATAATGAGGCATACAGAGAGACAAGCCATCATAAAAAAAAAGGTGAAGATAAAGTGGCACTTCCTAATGATGATATATACTGAATACAGTGAATATCAGGCATGAAGGAATATTAAAGAGAAAGAACTGAATTAGAGAGAAGAAAGCTTAAATATTTAATCTATGCTTCAATTGTGAATAATATAACAGGGAGTGCTTAGGCCTAGTTTACACATGTAAATGATGCATTAGCCACTTCTATTCAAAAGGATGGCTATCATAGATTGTATGACCTGAGCCCTAGAAAATAACTCAGCCTAGTTATACAGTTCCCAGCTGCATGTTATGACTTATTTCAGCAACTGTGAGAAAGTGAAGCCGTCAGATAGGAATATAAAAAGCTGTCACAGTTCCTAAAGGGCATGTGCAGACAAATAATTCAAGCTTTCACGTGAAAGAACTTTGTAATTCCCCACAGGAAAATTTTGCTGGTAGTGCATTAAAGTTTTAAACTCACACTCAAAATGGAGTGTACTAAAAACTATAGCTCAGAGGGCAAAAATAGCTCAAGAGACTGGAGATGGGATGTAGCTTTCCACCTTTAGGGCACCTCTTCAAAACTAGACATTTGAAGTCTTTCTGAAGTGAGCTGCACATCTTAAGAGGTGGGCAGAAAATTCCCATTAGAATATCTAATTCCATCAAATGCTTTGAATCAATTCCACTGGAATGACTTATAAAAAAAATAGAAATAAAAATTGTCATAGTGTTAAAATAAGACTAGAAGGCACCTCAGGAGTTGTATTAAACTGAAAAATATGGGTGAAAGACATCTCAAGAGCTCATCTAGTCCAACCTCATGCTCAAGGCATAATCATCCCTTACTAAACTAATCCAGGCAATTGTTTTTCTAACCTGCTCTTAAAAACCTCCACAGATAGAGATCACACAACCTTTCTGGGTAATTTGTTCCAATTTGTAACCACCCCAATTGTTAGAAAGGCCTTCCTAACATCCAACTGAAATTTCCCTGGTTGTAATTTAAGACAATTAATTCTCTTACTATTCACTGCAACCACAGAGAATAGTCTATCACCATCTTCTTTATAACCACTCTTCAGGTATTTGAAGAGTTTTATCAAAAGCCCCATCAGTCTTTTCTTCTCCAGACTAGATAATCCCAGTTTTTCCAAGCTTTTTCTCATAAAACTTGCTTTCTAGTCCTCTAAACATTTACATTGCTCTCTGATGGACTCTTTTCTAATTTATCTGTATTGTTCTTGGAGTTCAATGACGAAAGCTGGACATAGCACTCCTGGTGAGGCCTCACCTGTCCTGAATAGGCCATAGGATCACTTCCCTTGACTTGCAGGCGACACTACTGTTCGTACAACCCTGTATGGCATGGGTCTTTTTTGTAGCAAGAGCATACTTTGATTCATATTCAGTTTCTAGTACTTATAACTCCCCAGTCCTTTTCTGCAATACTGCAACATAGCCAGTCTTCCCCTAATGTGTATTTATGTACATGATTGTTCTCGTTTTTGTGTAGGACTTTGCATTTGTCCTTATTAAATTCTATTTGATTTAATTTCAGAAAAAAATTCTAGTTTATCAAGACCATTCTGAATCCTGTTTCATTCTGAAAATATTGAAACATTTTGATTTTTCACTTTGAAATGACAGAAAAAAATTAATGGAATGTTTTGATTTTTATTAAATTAAATTAAATTAAATGTTTGATTAACCCCAAATAAAGTAAAGAGCTTTCTTTTGAAGAAAGTTTCAAAATATGAAATGTAGCCAGGTTTCATCATTTTAAAATCCTCCAGTAAATGGAACTTGCCTTGCATTGTGTTCCAATCTCAGTTCATTTTATAGGATCTATGACAAAATTCATGCAATTATTGTTACAATCTCAGTAAAGAGGTCAAAGAATGGGGATGGCAGCTGAGCAATCTTAACACACTCAGGCTGTGGACAGACTAAACTTTCAAACATTTCACAAAAGAGTGATGATGGACTTGCTGCTAGGGAGTGAGCATCAACTGTTCTGATCTAACAGTTATGCCTGTTCACTCCTAGACAAGTTTCCAAAGATCTATTGAGCTACTGCCACCCCTGCCCTGTCACATAAGCAGGGAACGCTGGCTCTCAGGGGGTGCACCAGTGCTGTCAGGGGATGCACATGCACCTCTGTGCACCCCCTACACATCGCCACTGGAGCTGCTTATATAGGATTAATTTGGTACAAAAGTCCTGTAACAGAGTGTCCATGAATGTGTTTCAGAATTTAGCCCTTCAAGAACAAAAAAGACACTTTATTTCACTTACCAGTGTTATTTATATGCCACCTTTTGGCAATGTTAAATTAATTATAAACATATTAAATCTAGCCAATACAGACTAGCAAAAATTAAACAAGGAAATATGACCCTGGGTTTATGAATGTCTAACACAGGTAACAGAGTTAGCTTATTTCTCACAAATGTTGTGTGTGAGGCTGGAGCACAGATCCAGTAGAATAATGGCTACCAACCTCGGGTCGTGACCCAAATCAGGGTCACGGGAGGTCCGCCCCTCACTCTACCCCTCCTGCCTGTGGGGCTCTCCCCGCACACGGTCCATGCAGCTCTTGCTGCTGTTCCTTCCCATGCTGCTGGGCATGAGTGAGTTGGTGCCAGGGGCAGGGACAGGGGAGTAACCCAGATTTAGGGTTGCAGCAAAAAAAGGTTGGGAGCCACTGTAGTAGAATAACTAGGTCGGGGCAAGTGGTAGGGGGGACCCACCCTAGACACTGACTGTGAGCTAGTGCCAAGACTCCTCTTACCTGGAATCTTTGCCACAGCAGAAGAAGCTCTGTGCTGCTTCTGCTCAGCCGTAGGAGCCAGGCAGGGCAGTGCCACAGCAATCAGTGTGTTTGGGAGGGCAGGGGAGTAAGTAGAGTGGTGCTTCCCTCTACCCCCCAGCCTTTGCAGTGCCAGGGAAAACCCTACACTGCCTTGGCCTGGCACTGGAGCTGTGCAGGGAAGCACATACCAATTGGTATATGAGGGGGAAGTGGGGAGAAGTGGGGCAAACAGCACAGTGCTTCCCTCACACTGAGGAGACTTTGCCAGAGCAGGTACAGCCTTGATCCCAATATGTAAAATATATCCACCCTTGGAGGTTTCAAAACTCAACTAGACAAAGTTTTGGCTGGGATGATCTAATTGGGGATGGTCCTGCTTTCAGCAGGGGGGTGGACTAGATGACCTCCTGAGGTCCCTTCCAACCCTAATTTTCTATGATTCTATGTATGCATGGGGGAAGTGGGGCATGAATGGGACATCAGAACCCAAAGGAAGCCCAGCCATGGCAGAACTGACACCAATACTACTGTGTGCCACTTCTCTGGCCCTGGAAACTGGTCCTGCCACTGCGTAGACCTTCCTGTTGCAAAGGGCAGACGTATGCCTCTTGAGCAGAAAGCAATTCAACTGCTACGGTGATAGGACTTGTATCTTTTCTTTGGCAACTACTAGATCTCAGTGATGCACACTGGTGCATATAGTGATATTCATGATTAGTACGCTGCATGACCCTTTTTATTCTATACAAAAATCTCAAGGATCTGCAAATCAAAAAAAGACCAAGACAGTACTAGATTTAGGACTGCTTAATTTTTCCTGCTAACTACTTAGATTGGAAGGAAGCTACTGAATGTAACAAAAACAGGACAAGTTAATCCTATGGCCTAGATCTCCACTGTGTATGTTGGGATGTCAAATATATGGCCTGTGGACTGGATCCCACACAGAGAGGCAGGGCATCCAGACTGTGAGGCTTCCCACAGAGCTGAAATGGCATTAATCCCCGTGCCCAGCCATGAAGGTTAATACTGATGCTGCTTGCCTTGCCTCCAAAATGTTGGGTCACAATTCCCACTGAGAATGCAATTCTGAGGTGGCATTAACCCCCTGGATGCTGGTCCTGACAACAAGGCAGCTCAGGAAGCCTCAGGGGTTAACACCACCACTGATCACCATGCCTGTAAAGAATTGTATCCCCAGTGGGGCTCATGACTTGGTGACAGAGTGAACTGTGATAACGTGAACCACCCACAACAGCCAGAGCCACTGTGCCAATGGGGCCAACACCAGGGGGTTAATGCTGCCATCACATTTTCTTCTTCTGGAGATGAGTAGTCCAGCGCATGCAAAATCTGATATACAGGACAAATTTGGTTGACACCCTTTGTAGACATAGCTAAGGATATTGTACCAGATTGTTCTGAAGAATGATAGTTAAGAAGTGGATTGTCTAAACCTACTACCAAGACCTACATTATACTTGTTCCCAAGAGAAAAAAATACATTTTAAATAAATGCAAAATAAAATGCATAGTAATTAAAAATATATACTGTCAGCATTTCACTTTCACTTTTAAAATGTATTTAAAATAATAAGTAACAGGTATTAATACAGCCACCAGATGGAGCTTGGAAGTTTCCCTGAATTGAAAAGTAAAGTTGTCGGTCTAGCTAAGTCAAAATTAGCCTTTCTCTACTACAGAAGGTCATTTTATGGAAATGCTAGATTATTGACAAGAACGATTCAGTTAAAGGAACATGACCATTTCTGCCTTTGTTCTCATTTACTCCTTGTAAAGAATTTTCATTTAAAAGTTATACTTTTACTATGTACTTAAAAATTTTAAAAGTGTTCCATACTGAGACAGAAATGGAAATGTTTAATAAATGTTGATTGACATAAACATATGCAATGAAGATGAGACATGTATGGAAAAGTCTGTAGCATTTTTTTACTGAGGTTCTTAACTAATTTACCTGACTTTCTATCTGTAATGTGGGTGTAAATAAATACCCCATTTCACAGACTTATTGAAGAATGGATGTAATAAATTACTATAAAGCACTTTGAGCACCTCACATATATCAAGCAGTAAATATATGTAATTATTACAATAGAAAATGTATTCATATAAACCATTCAATTCAGCTCACTGCAAGACTGTTTCCAGAGACTAAAGACATGACATAAAAAATAAAAAAAACTGAGCAGCAGCAAAAATAGAACATAAATTATAGTGAATGGATTATTTTTGTTTTAAGATCTTTTACTACTGTTTTCTTTTTTTTAGAACCTGAAGTAAAAAAAGAAGCAAAGCCAGCTAAACCAGGTAATTATCTTAATGGCTGATAGACTACCTACCAGTAGGTCACATAACTGGGACCATGAGCCTCACCCAGTTTGGTTTCAGATGCCTAGTCAGGACTTGTGCATAACTGAGGCCAAGAATGCAAGTAGCAGCACAAGGAAGCAGGAAAATGTTTCTGTAACCAACACCTGGTTGGGGAGCAGCTTAGGTCCTTGTCCCTATTCCTACAGATTTTTATGCATTTTACATTAAACAGTCATTGGCTGATGGAATATAAATAGTTATTACCACAGAAATCAGAACACAAGACAACCACTTCCCAGGAAAGTGCTGTAGCCACTTCCTCTTGCTTGCTTTCCTTCTGGCCTTATGAATCATGTATTCTTAATTGGCCCAGTGGGACAGCTTCAATAGAGTGGGTAGAGAGTGTCTTTCTCCGAATTAGTCTACTGCCTGAGCTCTGGAAAACCTAAATGTTGGTATATCTAAGACTAAACTGGCCCTAAGGCCAGTTTTCAAATTGGAGTTCCCAAAGTTAAGCTCCAAAATTCATATCTAGACACCTAGGATTAAACTCCAATACTGCCCAAGTGATTTAGATGCATGTAACAGGGTGGTCTGGCCCATTAAGAGGTAGCAGAAAGCCTATGGTGGAGGCCAAACAGCAGGTGTTCAGCCACTTGAGGAGGCCCCTGCAGGCAGTTAAAAACCCCAGAGAGAAAGCAGGGATCTTCGAGCTAGAGGAAAGAAGCAGTCCATGATTAGGAGTAGGACTGGAACCCTGTTAAGCTCCAAGCCAAAAAGGTCCAGGGAGAGGGCATCTCCTACTATCCAGAGAAGATTTACTGGTTTTTAGTTGTTTATTTATGTGTTTATATGAGAAAGGCTCTGCTTGCTGGAGAGCTGGAGGGGCAGAGTAAATCTGCAAGGGGCAGCAGGTTCACTAACCTGCTTACAGGGTACCTGTTTTATGTTCTTAATGTGTTTAGGACCTTTTAGAAATTGTACACAAAACTTTCAGTGGGTGCATCTACATGTGTGCTTTACTGCAGAGCCAACTAATTAGCTCCACAGTAAAATGTCACTGTCTACAGGTGTGCCCATATTAGGGCACAGTAAACTAATTAATTCCACTGTAGAATAGTACTTTCCAGGACAAGACTATCCTATAGCATATAGTTATATGAGTTGAACTGAATGTGTAGAAGCTGACCTGGCTGGCTGGGTCATAAGGGTGCTGTAGTCTGGGGCTGCCTACCAGCTAGCCCTGCATTGCAGCATTGTTGTACCCTAGCCAGCCCCTCCATAGCGCATTGAGCCATGTCAGAGCAGCCTAGCAGGCTGATCCTCCCTGCCGCTGCCCCCCGAACACCCTGTCAGCTGGGGCTGCTCCAACCTGGCTCCATGAGCTGCAGTCCCAGGCACACGTGTAAATGCTATGCCCAGGAGCAATAAACTCTGGTGTGAACTGTGCCAGAATTTATTGCTATGTGCTAATTGCACATACAGTTGCACCCAGGGGGGATTTAGCCTGAATCTTGTCCTTGGTTACATTTTTTTTGCAGGCCCATTCCAAGCAAAATTGAGGATGCCCTTTTAAAGGAAAGAAAAACACTTGTAATTTATTTAGTAAGGTACCCATAAACTAATTTTAAATGTATATTTCATGGAAGTGATTTCATTTACTGTTATTATTATAATTTATGTTAATCTTTTTACTTGTACTAAAGTACAACAGTAATTTATTCAATCCTTGTTACCAATAACTGGAGACAATTAAGCATATTTTAATGATTATGCAATAGCTGTGATTTCTAAAAAAAGGTTTTATATAATTGATGGCCTGTGTTGTCATAGTGTGCTAGGTGCGATAGATTTATATTGGAATAATGTTAGCAGCACTTTCAACTGTCAATCAGCACAATATATTTAAACACCTCAGTACCACTGTAACATGAGTAGCTGGCCAAAAAAATACCAACACAGGGTAGGCTATTTATTCTTGTATCCATAAATTTTACACATTAAATACTTGCAGGAAGCCTTGATGGTTTAAATATAATTCTAAAATGAATGATTCTTGGGTATGCAACTTTAAAAATATCTCATTATTTTAATGATGAAGATTTAATTTTTAGAAATCTGCTTTTTCCAAGTTTATACAGAAAGCAAAAAATTATAGTCAGTGGAATTACACCAAAAATGAAGATAAAGATGCTCTGATTCCATGGGATAGTCCTTAACTGTAGGTTTAACCAACATTAATTTGGCTGGCAGCAGGGAAAAGTCCTGTCAAGTGTTGTCAGTGCTTGTTGTACTTTGTAGTCATGTCTCTAAAATTATTTGTATTTTAATTTTCTATATGATGTATTCTCCATATCTTCTATTTTCCATTAATTAAAGTGCAGGTTGAACTCATGGGCACTATGGTTTTTCTATACTTAAGTGAGATCAGTCAATAAGAGAGAAGGATCTGACTAGTTAAGTCTAGATCCAGGTCCAAACTATTTCCATGGAATTTGGGTTCAGGATTTTGGTTCACGGCTTTATATCAATAACCATCATCTACACAATGTGGCTCAAGATATAAACATATTGTGGGACTGAGGGAATCCCAAACTTGGGGGTTTGGGACTGAGCTCCTCACTGCATGATAACAACAACAATAACAAGTACCTAGGAAATGGTACTTTTCACCCAGATGATATAAATAAATAAATGAAATAATATGAATTCTCTAAAAACTAGTATTGATATTAATAGATCATAGAATTTAAATTGATGATCTAAAAGTCCCTGGTCAGACATACAGCATAGTATAAACCACTCAATGTTACTAGTTAGTGCAGTATTGAACTCAATAACTTGTATTGGAATAAAGCAGAACAGTTTGGACTAATTGTCACATCAGTGAAACATAAGTCTAAAATTATTGTAAATAAAATATAATATAGAATATTTTATGTGAGTTGAATGTTCCTTGCCTTGTAATATTAACAGTCAAAATTTAAGAATTTTATTGGGGGATGACGTGGAAATTGTTCCTCAAGTATTTCAAAATTTATTTGGGGGCAAGCCTATCTCTGGACTCATGCCAAAGGCCATACCCAATTGACCCAGCTATAAATGGTTAACTGGGCACTCAGACTGGGGTGTCAATGGCAGCTGGATGTAGTGGTAGCCATATCACTCCCTTGTGTACAGTTGGCAACAGACAGAGGTGGGCCTTAACCATGCTAACCCAATAGGCTTAAAAGTTTTGGAGGTCCTTTCACTGTTGCTTAATGAGGGAATGCAGTGCACATGCCTAATCTGCCCTTGGCTGTGATTTCAATCTCTCTCATTCCATTTATGCAGTATTTGTCTCCCCCAGGAGTTAGAGACTTATAGTGCTTAAAGGCCATTAACTTTTAATACCTTTCTGTGAAATCACTCTGTTCCAACAAGATCTATGGTTCCTAAGCACTTACGTTGTTCAGATGACAAATTTCATGTAAGAAAAGGAGAAAGGTTTGAATTGGTATTGCTGTTTCCAGTTAGATACTCAGCTGAACTTTGACATAGAGTGAAGTCTTTAATAAAAAAAAAAATCCCAAAGTTTCCCAGACCTACGCCACTCCTCTTCCCCTATTATTATTAGAACCCCAGGAGTAAAAAAAAAAAAAAAAGTTTCTTTTTTCTGATTTCTCTGATCTCTAAAATACTTTTTGTTTTCCCATGATACAAAGTACTCCGGAGTTGAAATTTGGAAGCACATCTTTAAAAACAAAACAAACATAGGGTCAATTCATTTCCCAGTCATAAATTTGTAGGACACTTAGCTCAAAATAAATAGGATACAGACATAAAAATCAAACATTAAATCCAATGTTTATGAGCTGGCTCTTCTGCTCCTCCACGCTAGAAATGAGGTAGAGAAAATAATAGTCGTCCTTTGAGCACTAACCCACAGTTTTGTGATGAAGAACTACAGTATAAGGATCTATTTATTGTAAATTAAGCCCCTGTTGGGCCTGACAGCAGTGGCTAATTATAATAGTAACCTAATTCTTCATGGCATTCAAAGAGATTTACCTCATTCTTGTCAGAAGAGTGATTCTGAAACAGTGAGCTTAGGAGCTTTGTAGTAATGTATCTCACAAAAAACAGGAAATGAGAGGAATGGTCTTAGACTGTTAGCTGGGACTAGAGCCTGTATTCAGTTATGTTATCTTAGGGCATGGGTATCAAATTTATTCTGCCCCATTACCCAGACGAGGGGAGTGGGGCCTATCTGCGAGCCACATCAGACCCACAAATGGGACGTGTGTGCTGGAGCTAGCATCTAGCATGGGAACTAGCTCCAGCCCTGCGTGCTGCATGCATTACGCACTGGCTCTGGACCCATGCATTGAATGCAGTGTGTGAGGCGGATCCATGGCATGCAACACATGCAGCACCCAAATCAGACCAGCCCTGGATTCAGTACTTAGGGGCAGTCTGGTGCAGGCACAGCATGTAGCGTGTGCCAGACTGACTCTACAAGATGCATGCAGTACATAGGGCCATGGCTGAAGCATGCTGCATGTGGTGTGCAGAGCTGGTCTGAGACCAGGGGAGCACCATGGGTCATATCTTTTCCACCTCTGTTTTGGGGAAAGCAGTTAGTATTTTCATGCCTCTCACCCTCGATATATCAGGTGAGACAGTACTCCCATAATGTATAGGTATTCTATCAAGATACATACCTTAGACTTGGAGACTGTTGGTGTGTCTATATGCAAGTAAACTACTCACATGTAAACACTCCCAAGCAGGTGTCCACATGTGCAGAAAAGCAAGAGTAGATTTGTTCTAATGGCAGCAAACTGCTCCTGCTTCCTGGGGCCCTGCAATGGGCCCCTGCTGCCACCACAGGGAGCACTAGGCTCTCCCGGGGTACTAGCCCAGGGGCTGACAGGGAGCACTGGGCCAGGAGATAGCCTGGGACTGGGGTAGTACTCCCTTCCCCTAGGGGGGCTTCCAGCTGCCAGCAGCTTGCCCCAGCAGCGGGGCACTCCTGGCCCTGGGTCCCCAGTCAGGGACAGGAGACTTGGAAACAGCTGCAGGGGAGGGGCAGGTCCCAGCTCCCTGCCCTGACCCGCCAGTGGGGCAGCTTACTAAGGATCTCCCAGCCCCTGCTCCCCAATCATGATCTCGGAGCAGGGTTCTTGCAGGTCTCTGCTGCTGGGGCAGGAGGACATAGTCCTCACCTGGGCTTCAGTGGCGGAGCCTACCCTAGCAGCAGGCAGTTCCCAGGGGTGGGAAGCCATCTCCCACCCCCGTGGTGGTGGCTGACCCAGAAAAGATTTGCTTCCAGTCAGGCATCTACATGAGTGCTACTGAGCAGTTAGTAATCATGAGTAAGTTTACTTCTTTCATTTGCAGGTAGCAAATTTACTCACAGTTAGCAAAGTAGGTGCATAAATAGATGCACATGCTTATTGTACAGTAAACTGTAGTACTATGCAGTAGTGTCTCGTGTAGACACATGCTGTGAGTCAGGCTGTCTGCAACCACCATTTTCTAAGACCTGCAGGACACAAAAGGAGCACAAATAGATTGTGATGGATCAGGAAAACTGATCTTGAAAACATGGGGGAAATAGTGCAACTTGTTGCCTCCCTTGGTTTATACAGTGGCAATAACTTTACAAAGGAGGATAATCTGTTTTGGACGGGATGATAAATCCTGATTAATTCCATTCTACAGCTTTTTTTTCCCCCAAATCTATTTTCCTCTTAGATATGCCGAATTGACCAAATACAATTAATCTGTTTTTCTCTGCTAGTTTGTTGATAGTATGGTTATTCCATCATCTGCAGCACCTTGTTATCAACAAGGATAAAACTGTTCCATTTAGCCTTAAATGAAAACCGCATTAAAGCGGAATCAACGTAGTACATTTTAACTCATTGCTATCTGCAGTATGGCTGCTGGAAATTTTTAAAACAGCAGAGAGCATTGATTTATGGGAGAGACTTTTATTAGTCCTTGGGCTAGGACATATTTTACTCATGTGTGGGGTTCTTTTTTTATCACTTTTTCTGAAGAGGGATGGTTTTTCAATACATGCTTAAAGGACTTTATGATGGTGTTAGAAAAGGAATGAAATCTGAATTCCATGTGCCTTTTTACCTTTGCTACCTTGTTTTGAGACTCTGCCTGGACACTTTTGATTTTGGAAGGGGTATCTTCAGTCTTACCCATTTCATTTACCTTGTTTTCAGAAGCCAAAACAATAAAAGAAGCTAGAGCAGTCCCTCATCCTGCTACTGAAGGTACGGCTTCATCTTTGCATTTAAAGTTTCTGTCACATTGTAAGGAGAGCATCTGTTTAACCACTTATGCATGCTTCTCCAGGGACAGATCCAGAGGAGGTACAGTGACATGATCATATCCCATTTTTGGATTGGACTGCATCACAGGAGCCTCCAGGGGTTGTTTTTTTAGACCCTAAAGGAGGTGAAATTTCCCTTCTGCTCCACTTCAACTCCCCTCCCCTCCCCTCCCCTGCCTGCTGCTTTTGCTTTTCATACTGTAATGTGGGCTGGGCTCAGCTGGGGATGGAGAAAACTGCATTGCTCCTGAGGGTTGGGGCAGAGATGGAGGAACTACTGTTGTTGCCCCTGTCCCTGTCCCCAGATGAGCCCAGCCCCAGTCTTAATTGTAATCTTTTTAATGGCCCCATAGCTCTTAATTTTTGTTTGAACTATTTTAGCTTCCTCTGTGATTCAAATTATTCGGTATTTTGGTTATATTATAGTTTGGTAAATATATATATTATTTTGGTGTCTTAAGCTTTTGGTGTCTAAAGCTCCTTGTCTTATATGCTGGGTTTTTGGTTGTAGCCATGTTAGTCAGAGGACATAGGCAGGCAAGGTTCTTCGGGTAGATGTGATATCTTTTATTAGACCAACTGAGTAGTTGGGGAAAAGTTCTTAGCAAGCTTTTGGGTGCAGTCACCCTTCTTCAGGCATAGGGAGTCTCTGCTGTTCTGAGACTCACAACAGCAGAGACTCCCTGTGCCTGAAGAAGGGTGACTGCACCTAAAAGCTTGCTAAGAACTTGTTTTCAGCTACTCAGTTTGTGTAATAGAAGATATCACATCTATTCAAAGAACCTTTCCTGCCTTGTCTTATATTATATTTTTGATCAATCTGATCAAGGTATTGACATTTAACTGTTAGCATCCTCCCATTCCTGTTATAAGAATGGTACAAAATTCAGAAGGAGAAGAAGGATTTTAACCTGCTTTAGGTGATTTAATGTCCCTGAAGGCTCCAGAGGGCTGTCTGCCCCCTTTGGTGGGGGAGGAAAAGGCTGGGAGCAGGGGGTGCAGCCACCCCTATTGCTATAGCTGCACCCACCTTTGAAAAATCCTGGATCTACCCCTATGCTGCACAATACTTTTTTCCATTGAGTAGCCCCAGTAAAATCTATGAGATTTTTTAATTGTAGAATGCTACACCCTACCATTCATTAGAGTATTAGGATTAGGATTTTTCACTTTTTTTACTGTGTTGAGGTATGAATTGCAGATTCCTAAAGACAAGTTCTACAGATGGGTACTATAAAGATATTTGGTGGGCTCCGGGTTTTTTTGCCCCTTTGCTTGTAATATACCTACAGATTAATGTTCCAGCTGTATTAATCTAATGCCCAGTCTAGATCCTGTTACATCAACAACATTTTTTGTTGGTTTTAATCAGAATTGATTCAGGCCACTAGTTATTCTAATGGAAGGTACCTTTTTTGGCTTATAATGTACATGTAACTATGCAACCAAAAATAATTTTTACAGCTGCAGCACATCCTAATTATTATTTTGTTGTCCCTTGATAAAATAAGTGGCTCTAGCATAACTTCTGCTTCCTTCCTAACATTCTTTTCTTACACCGTGCTCTCAGACACAAATGTATTTGCTGTCTGAATAGTAAATTACTGTCATCTAGATGGAAAATTTGACATATTATAATCATAAAGCACATTCTGCTTTTAGCCTTACGAATTTATGGTTCAATAAACTGAAGGATTTCTCTTCTGAACCCATATCTGAAGCTAATTTAAAAAATATGCCATATATAATTAATACCCTTCTGGCATTCAGAAAAGCAGGCAAGAGTCAAACAAATCTTGAAATGAATGTAAAAATAGTAAGTGATGAAACTACCAAGGCTGGTTACTAAGTGTAATTGAGAACAACACAAAAAATGTGAAGCCATTTTAGCTGGGGATAAAACTAGAGTCAGTTAATCAAATTTAGTCATAGCGTGGCTCCCATATTACTTAGTCAAAGTTCTACCTAACTGAACCTGGTCCAAAATTGGACTTTCATTTCTACATACTCTAAACTTGTCAGTTATATATGTTACCTAACATATAATAATGTTAGATGTGTAATTTATTTTGGAGCCAGGTTCTCTTTACTCACAGGTGGTGTGTCTACACAAGATGTTTACTGTGGAGTTGCCTAACTAGCTCCGCAATAAATGTCTTGGTGTCTACACATGGCCCTATTAGACTGCAGGAAACTAATAAACTCCACAGCAGGTTAGTACTTGTAAATACAAGTATTAAACTGCTGCAGAGATTTTTCATGCACAGCAACGTACATTTAGACTCGGTCCCAGCCAGCTGGGGCATGAGAGTGCTTCAGTACGAGGGTGCTGCCTGGCTTTGCACTGGAGCACCCTCGTACCCTTGTCAGCCCCTCCACAGCATGTTGAGCTGAGTCAGAATAGCCCCAGGCTTTCAAGCTGACCCCCTGGGCTCCCTGCCAGCTGGGGCTGCTCCATCCCCACTAAACATACTGCACTCTTGGGTGCACGTTCAAGTGGAATGCCCAGAAATAATAAACTCTAGCATGACATGTGCCAGAGTTTATTAATGTGAATTAATTGCATGTGTAGACATGCTGAGGGACCAGTACTTTAGTTCACAAACAACCCCATTAATTTTAATGTGACTAGGTAGTAAAGTGATTGTGCCTTACTCTGCAAGTGATGTGAATAAAAACAGCAGAAGCTAGCCCTTAATCTCTTAATTTATTCTTGCCCCTCTCTGTGATATATATATGATTTTTTTTGGTAAATCTGACCAAGCTACTGATGGTTAACTGTTAACATCCTTCTGTTCCTGTAAGAATGGAATGAAATTCAGAATATCTGCCCCATGGGAAATTGTGGCATGTTAAAGTCAAACTATGATTATTTTTTTATGGAAGGGAAAGTTTACAAAACTTTTGATCCAGAAATGTTGAAAAGGTCATTTCAGCTCAGCCTGACATTAGCCTGTGTCCTGCTGACTTGCTGTGAAAACTCATTGCTCCAAAATATTTCCATGGAGTGGTATCTCCAGTTGTACTCTCTCTCCCATAGTAATGGGAATCTTAGAATGTACTGTGATGTTTCAGTCTATGGGAGAAACCTCCGTATGACATGGGAGCATATAACTGTGGATGATGGCCCATAAATAAAGATGGGGAAATGATACATCTTAACTACAGTTCTTTTGAAGCACCCAAACAAGTGAGCTGGATATAGATTAATGCTAAACTGATCCAAATCACATTGTTTAGGTTTGATATCCTGTGTAGATTCAAGTAAAACAATCTCAACATGAAGCAAACATGATATCATTTTGATTTTTACAATAAAATATAAGGATTTCAGCATAATCAAAACATAAAGCATTTGAATTAAGGTTGAATTCTTTAGTGTTTCAAATTATTTAAGACATCTGGATAAAAAAGCAATTATTTTATTAATTTCAAGATTTAAAAATGATTGTTTAAATGATGTTTCATTATTTCCACATGTGACATGCTAATGCACTAATATTAAGAGTTATTAAGTTCTATAAATACTAAGCATTGTCTTATGATTACACAAGTAATTATATTACATCAATAAATTAACTTTCTAAACTATGGTTCTTGTTCTGAATTACATTTTCTAAGTTGAAATTCATAACTGGAAAAGAACTGGGATTTTGGGTGGGGGGTTGTTTTTTACTTTTTGCTACATTTTGCAACATATAGCCACTTTTAAAAAATATTTCATTCCTAACTTGTGATGACAACAGAATTTATCTTTTACTGAAAATTGATTTTTCAAATTTATTTTTTAGGCAAAAAAGCTGAGCCTAAATCATCACGTAAGTGGTTAATGTACATAATAGAGTAAACAATAATTATCAAGAACACACAAAGATTGCATTAAATGTTGTTAAATGTACAGTAGAATGATTTTAGCCTAATACTGTGGGAGCCAAATCTTTTGGTATATTAATTCAATGCTTTACCTTAAGACCATTGCTCTTTTCCTACTGCTGTTATTCTGCTTCCCATTACTTTCTTGCTTGCCACCATGTATAGATGCTTTTATAGTCCATATACTTAGCACAACACTCTTCATTATTTCCTCCTTGTTCTGAATACAATTTCCCGTTGGTGGAAACAACAGGAGCAAGTATGATTAATAGTTAGCTGCTATTTAAAGAGGAAAAGGTAGTGTTAGAGTGATCATGTGGCTGTGATGGTCCAAGAATTATGCAAGAGGAAAAGAAAACGAATTTCAACTTGGGAATAAGCCTAGCAGTCCTGGGATTTTAACTGTTTTGCTCTGAGGGTGCAAAGGAACAACAGAGAGTAGTTAACACTGAAAAGATGTTTTTCAAAATTAAAATTTGAATATAATAAAGGGCTTAGACCATCTGTCTGTCTGTAATGCTCTTGGAGCACTCTGATTGGTTACTGCTCCTTGAATGTGATGGCGGTGTAGGGTGTTGGTGGAGGTGGACAGAGGGGATGGCAGGGCAAGCTTCCCCTCCCTCCTGCTCCTGAGTGACAGCAGCAGTGGGGGTGGGGGTTAGGATTAGTGTTAGCAAGCTTCTCCCCCTGTCCCTGTCCCTCCCCCATCATTCTTGATGGACAATTCGCTAGTGTGTGTGTGTGTGTGTGTGTGTGTATATAATAGAACTTAAAAGTCCATGTTGGTGTTCAGTGCTTGGGATGGGATCAGCCTCAATAAGCTCAGGGGGGCAGAATGATTTCTTGAGCTCCTTGGTCTCCAGAGGCAACACAATCACTGATACCCCTGTGAAAGTCTGGCTGCTACCCCCTTCAACTACCTTTTTTTTCTCTTTAAGAACATTGTGTGGCACAAAAAAAGTAGAAATAAAGGAGTACAACTGTTTCCCCAAGTTTGGTGATGAAATCTGTGTAACAAGATAGGCCCCGATGGTGGCCCTGATCCCTGCTCCTCCCCCCACCCCCGGTGGTTGCTTCGGTCCTGCCCTGCTCTCACTCTAGGGTCTCACCCTGATGCCTTGGCTGCCATGCCTTGATAGTAGAGATATCGAGGGGTGGTTGGGGTACTTTGGTTGCTCTCTCTGTATAATTGATTTTTCTCAAAGGGTCACCTTGGCAAGCTTAATTTGTGCTCCAAGTCTGCTGTCCACAGTCTCTTAGCCATGGGGCTGTTAATCCTTTGGCCCTAATCACCTCAAGGGCTAAATTCCTGGCCTCTGTCCTCCCCTACAGCCCTGCCCATGCCTGACAGATGTTACTGTGTTCACAATTTGGTCTTCCTGTAGAGGCCTCATCCCTCTTGGCTTTAGTCCCCCTTTATTCTGGCTACAGGCTTCCAGTCCTGGCCCACTTATTCAGGCGTGGCTTTCTGTACCTTAGCCCTTGCCTTTTGCTTCACTCTTCAGGCCCTGTCTTTTTCTCTAGGCCTCTGGCCCTGTCTCATGTTATCCCAGCCCCACAGTGCTACTGGCCCAGGCAAGACTGCTCACTGTCTCTTCCAGCCCCCTGGTGCCCCAGGCCAAGGGTGCTTATGGTCACTTGCAGTCCCCTGGCATCCCTGATCCTCAGTGGTTTGGCTTTATCCCACATGCAGCCTCCTGGATCCCAGACTTTGGCAGGGCTTTATTTGGGCCTTAGCCCATCCTGCTGCAGGGTGCTTTCTAGGCACCCCCAATTACGGCTCCATGCCACCCCTATCAGCCACTCTTAATCCTCTGGTGTTACCCTGTGCCAGCTACAACAGCCTGATAAATCCCCTCTAGGGTTCCCCAAGGCTCTGCGAGCTCCTACCCTGTAGCTTCTACCGTTGCTGCTTCCCCAGGTACTGGTGCTGCCTGGGCTCCCATCTGTTGCCATCCAGGCCAGTAGGAGTTCTGTCTGCAGTTAGGGCCAGACTGCCTCCCCTGGATCAGGAGCCAGGCTTTTAGTAGGTTAGGGAGCCACCCTTCCCAGTCACATGACTTATCCCTCAACCTGCTCTCAGTTGTTGCAGTTCAGGCCTGAGCTTCAGCCACTGCCTCCTCCCCTGCTGTGGGTTTCTCTGCCTGCATATTCCTCTGCAGGTGGCCCCCAGCCCAGATACTTACTTAATTGCAACCCTGAAATGCTGGCTTCCTATTGTTAAAGTAGCAAGCTTTAGGAGTACTTGCTACATCTTGCCCTTGGTACATCTGGTGTGCTTGAGTCAGAAGGAGGGCTACTTACTTCCTGTTCCCCCTCTCTTCAGATTCGTAGGGTACATCTGCACCACCCCTTGGGTGAGTCCAGAAGGGTTGTAGAGTGCCCTGCCCTTCTGTTCCTGCTCCAAAATGCTAAACTTGGAAATACAGCAGAGAAGCTGTTCTAAAATGGGCCCAAAACAGACATCTTAGGAGTGACTTTGGGGCTTGGCAGGTGCTATTGCCAAGGCAGGCCTTGCAGGTGAGCTGTGTTCTCAGAAGTGTTGAAGACACAGTGAGTGTGTCTATATGTGCATTATATCTGGGGCAGGCATCTATATGTGTAGG